TAGGACAGAAGTATTCTTAATTTACATGCAGTTTCAAAATTCTCAAATTTTATTGTTATTGAATTTCTCATTTTAAATGTTGCAAAGTATACAACTTAGTGGCACTTAGAATAACCATTGCCATATCTTGTTCCAGAACATGTTCATCAGCCCAAAAGGAAACCTCACACCTTTTTATTGCTACTTCTGGCCTTATTGTACTAAGATCTTCAGCAAAGTGTCGAATAGAAGTAGTGAAGATAGATATGATTGCTTGCCACTTATTTGTTTGTTTGTTTGTTTGTTTATTTGCGCTGGGGAATGAACCCAGGTCTTTGAGCAGTGCCAGGCAGCCCGGGCTCTCTTCCACTGACTTACAAAACCAGCCCTTTAAAAATATATATATATTTTTTTTTTTCAAGGTCTTGCTAAGTGTTTGATGATAGCCTTCAGCTTGTGATCTTCCTGACTCAGCCTCCAGAGTAGTTGGGATTACAAGTGTTTGCCACCAGGCTTCATGCCTTATTTTCTTTATTTGGAGCAAAGTATTTATGTATTTTTGACTTAAATTTTTTATTTATAGGATTTCCATTTATTTTCAATCTTGTTTGGCCATTCCTATTTTTCTTTTATATTTCTTTCTTCATAAAATTCATACTTTAAACATCTTATACATAACAGTTTTATATTCATAATTCCAACCTTTGATGCCCTTGTAAATCTCATTTGTTGTTTTTTCTTTTTATCATGCAGGATGGCTTATATCTTCTTTGGCATGATAATTTTTGATTTGGTAGGTCCTGGCCTTATGGATTCTCAGTCAAGTTCAGCCACTTGATCTTGTAGGGATGAGAGTTGATATCAGCATGCACTCTCAAAGAAGCCCATTTCAAACCCTCTTTTCACCTTACCTACAAGTTTAGCTTTAGTTCTGAACTTTTTCTATTTATAATTTCTTCATTTTTTTGATCAAGCACTTCCTTTCAGAGCAACAATGCATCCATAAAGCACCTAGTATATAGGTGCTTTAGAGTGGCAAGTTCCTATTGCCATACTGCCATAAGTGTTCCATTCTTCCATTGTTTCACCTGTTATCTATATGAATGACTCAGATCTTTTTCTCATGTCTGACCATTGTTTTTTCTTAAATTCAAAAACAAGTTCTTTTGAGATAGGTTCTTGCTGTTACATAGGCTTGTCTTGAACCTCTGGGTTCTAGTGATCCGCATGCCAAGTCTCCCAGGTATATCTAACTTTTCTTTTGAGTTTGAACTACCTGTTGGATATTTCTCTTTTTTTTTTTTTTTTTTTTTAAAGAG